ACGGATAACAACACCGCTGTGAGCCACGATAAGCGTGACTCGGTACGAAACGGACCACAGGTCCCCATTGACCAATGCGTTGAATCTGATAACGTGTCAGTTATGATGCGCTTCATGCTTCAACCGGTCGGTATTGGCCTAAACCACAACCTCATTTAGTTCATCATTGTCTATATCACCCAAACAAACCTGTGGACGGTAACATTTGAGCGCCCAACAGAATTTGAAGTACGACATTGTATCTAATCGCTGAAGAAAGGAAACCTATCCGGGTAGCAGTTGTTTCGATCAAATCATCATCGTCATCATCGAACAGCGAAATACAGTGAAGCGAACTTCACTGATCGCTGTCAAACTCGCAATGTATACCAGATTAGTGGTAAAATTTAAGATGGACAGGGATTTGACTTAAGTTGAGGGAGAGGGAAGAAGGAGAGCTACTATAGTCAACACACAGGGAGTGCACAATCGAATTCTGCATACATAGAGTTTCAAGCATTCTGGCCCGATAAGAAGAGACAACAAGAACGCCACTGCTTTCGGTTCGCTGCCATATCCTTTAGTGTCGCCAACCGGCCAGTTGCGAAGTCTTTCGGACCCCAACCTGGAAGGCACATGACAACTACTCTAAGGGTTCTGTGCATTTCTTCAGGCCTCGTTTTCACGTTGTCTGTTGGCCTCCGCGTGGTTTCTTTGAGCCCGGAGCGGCTACAGTGAATAAGGCGTGATGTGGTGGACGTTGCTTTCGAAAGCCTCAGTATGATCGGGGTGTCCGGGATTGTGACTGGTCACCATTTCTTTAAACCTCGCGAAATGCTTCTATATAACCAAGCGTCTCAAACAGCCTCTGCTGAGGAAGTCCTATTCACTGGCTTCTTGTGGCGGTGTTTTCCCACCAAAGTGAGAGGACGAAAAGCCGACATCCGGGGCTATAGCTGGGTTGGTGAACCATTGGCAGTTCACCTGGGGGAGTTGGCCAAAAACTCTGATTCCAAACCAACCAAGGAGAGGCGGAAGAACCACACGGACACCTTCCTGGTCGCGGCACTGGTCACCTTGGACGTTTGACCCCGTCCAAATGGTGTATGATCCAGTGAACTGGACACCGGCCCCCTATGGAATGCGGACCCTGAGCTCCATCCTGTTGTCTTGCAGGTCTGGCTTCGGGTGGGGACCCCGAGATTAATCCCCGTCCTCGACCAGGGCAACCGGGAAGTAACATGCCCACACAACCCATGAACACATTCTTCAAATTTCTTTCTGTTCATATGCTGTGGCACATTTGCCAGTTCTCTGTAATTGGTTACATGTTGAATGAAAAAATGGTAGACGGTAGCTGGGCATACGCAATACGTGCCCTAACCAGCGAAGTCTACTAATCGGAATTCGAAGTGCCAGGAGGTTTATGCCTGACAGACTTCCAAATACACGACAGTTTACCTCCAGGTTACTAACCCTTTCGATCTATCCCACATGGGCTGAACTACGTAAACGCCGATAGTCAAAAACCTCTAGCCGATGGACATCTTCTACTCGCAAATTCAAGGTCTCACAACCATAAAGCAGGACTGAACGAACGTTAGTACCATATACACGACCATGCAACTCCAGTGAACAGTCACGTTTACGCCAAAGGGGTTTCAGTCCTGCGTGTGCTGCTCGAGCTTGGGAAATGTGGGCGACAAAAACTCCTTTGATGCACTACCGTCATTGGTCAAGCAAACAACCCAAATAGGAAAAGCAATCCACTATAACTAATTCTTGACCATTTAGTTTCAGAGCGGGAGTGGGCGAAACCCAGCCATGCTTCGCACCTTGAAGGTGCGAAGCACATACCGAATGTGGCAACTGCACTTGTTAATCTATCAAGTGCGCTTTGCGCGTCTTCCAAACATTCAAACAGACGGACGACGTCATCGGTGTACTCCGAATCGCACAGTTCTTCTCCAGCTGTCAATTCAATTCCTACGTTTGAGAGACCACTAAGTGCGTCCTCCAGTATGTCGTCTACGACGAAGTTCTTCGAGTGTAACGCCGAACATGCCGTCAACCCACAAGCGCAGCGTTCCTTGGCCTAAAAGGAGCCTTCGATTCGATTGATTGTGAGACCCAACTGGCTCGCACTTTTGCAAAGGCCACAGACCAATGTAGAACTACTGAGACTACAAGCATACTTTGCGGCGGCGTAGGGGCNGGTTGAAAAGCTCGTTCGAAAACAGCTGTGGTTCATCAAGAGTGCCTTCTTTTGTCGTTTCTGTTCCATCCCGCCATAGACGAAGTACCGTAGAGAAAGCAACAAGTAATCCCCAAACTGTTAGCATAAGATGCATAGCTGGAGAACGGCTGTACGACTTCCAGTAGGCAGATAGTACCCCTTATTTGTTCGAATTTAAGGAGGACGCGTAGAATAAACTCGACAGAGAGACGTTCTGTTTCTCTATTCGCTATGTGTTGTTTTTACCTACGGAGTGCAAAACGCTACTGTTAGACTAGGTCTTGACTAGCGCCGCTTTGAAACAACACAGAGTTAGTTGAAGTGGATTACTTCTCCTATTAAGGCAGTTGTGTGACCAATGGCGACAGCATTTCGAAGTAGGTAATTCCAAGGCTCGAGCATCTTCACGGNCATCTGTATGCCACTGTGCTATCTATTCTGCATAATTTAATTCACTCGCCCTGTTAGACAAATCATAATCCACTAGTTTTTATAACAAATAAAACGATCCACAATTTGCTAGTGGGCGGAATATTGTCTGATTGCCAAGGCCAAGGTAGGGAATTTTTTTCTGAGGGCGGGGGGCATTCACAAGGTGCCCAATAAACCTCGATATCCAATCCAGTTGGTGACCACTGCTACAACTAGGAAGATTCAAGTTCTTCCTATGCCTCTTATTCATTGGTTTTGAATCAGGGTTTTTAGTTAACTTGCTTCTGTGTGACAAATACGTCTGGGAAACACTCATCATCCAGAGGTCTTAAATAAACGATAACAATCAACGTAGTTTGGTGCACGTTAGCTGGAGCAAACGGACAAGCAAGCAAGTCGACTACTTGGGAATGATTCGATGGAGAATCCGTTATCACATCGCTGGATTAGACACGTATTACACATGCCCAGAAATCATTCGCCGCAATCCACCTTACTCGATGTTGGAGCATCAGGTTAGAGGAAATCACGTGGAAGTCAACCGATGACGTGGAGACCAGGTCTGAAGAAATATACGGAGCTATTAGGTAGAGTATATCTTCCGTTTTCCAGGCTGCAATACAAGACTTCGTAACCAGTTGGTTGGAGACATGGAAGGATTTGGCGATGAACTGCCAGCAATGGCTTTTCCTTCTACACTTTTTATCAGGTCCGAATGCTTGAAAAGGTGTACATGCACAGTTAGATTGTGTGGCCTCTGTGCTGAACACAGAGGTTTGCTTGGTTTCCAATCCCTCAAAATAGATACATCTTACCCAATCCTACTTTCACTATGTACACTGTAAGCTTGGCAGTGAAGTTCGCTTCATTGTAGGTCGCTCTACGATCATGATGATGATGATGCTGACACCGGTGGAGTATTAAGGAGAAAAAAGTGGAAGCAGGAATGTGCAGAAAATTGATTCCGCTGGGGTTACATTCTCGTTTTCCACTTTTTCGAATGAAATCGGTAAACTAAAAATAAAATTCGGCTCGAACTAAAGCAATCTGATTCAGTTCACGAGACTTACATAAACGCAATCGAGTGCACCGTGACGAATGTCAAATACGTGAATACGACCCGGTGGTTCGGCGACCCAGAGTTCACTGTTATCCATCAACGACATCTTTCTCGGATAGTTCTGAAACTGAAGAAACATGCAGCAGAGAGAGAGGAATGGGCAGAAAATTGAAATGAACAAATTGGAGAACGGAAACTAAAAACACAANAAATTCTGGTAGGATGACCCGTGGTCAAGGGCACCGTGTGTATCGAAAATCATCAAAGCCGTGCCAAATCCGCGAACTCGATCTAAGTATTCAACTCTTTGCGCGGACATATACATGCTGAAACAATGTGATTCCATGCCTTGCTAAGCTCTTTATTAATTGTAAGACAATTATCAACCACCTCACGGAAAGACCCTTGAATTAATGTTACTTTTTTGTTAATTGCAATTTGTTTTATACATCCACTGCATAAGTTCGTAAAGTACCGATAATTCATCACAGTGTTTCTGGATTTGACTTTTGCATGAATTCAAACACAATAGTGCAATCGTAAGTGACAAAATTATCAGCCCCATGCTACTATTTTCACCAACTAGAATTACCGCCAATGTGATCCACTAATTAGCACCCAAAAACTCCCTCGGACTAATACACTGTTGGTTTTTGAGAAATTTATCGAGAACATACGCACGCCCACCCTACAAACCCACATCCATACTGACATATGCCGAGTGGATTACCTCCGATTATCAAGTGAGTGTTTTCTGACGCATCCGCAGACCTAAGTGCTAATATTTGTGCACTGTCAGGTTTGTGAAATTACTTCATTTTGTTCATCATTCATTGTTTGTCAATTTTTCTCATCGATTGTTGTGTTTCGTTGAGTAGGTTCCGGAGACCGGTTATCTGCTATTCATCATTATTGACTTGGCCGGAATTCTCGCTTTTTCGCTGTTCCTGGGTCATTGACGTGGTTCAATGGCACAGGATTTGAGACCTCACTCTATAAAGAACAGTGCGTTCCATCAACTTATCGATTCACACCTCATCGTANTCGTAAAGCGAAATACAGTGAAGATAACTTTGCTGATTGCTGTTAAAAGTACGAATGTGCACAGTAGATAGGGATGGGATAACAAAGTGAATTACCATGGTCAATTAACAGTCATTACAAACATTCCCATAGATTAAAGTATTTATCGACGTGCCCTATGAACAGCATGGCTGCTCACAGCTGCAGATACAATCAAGCCAGAAAGGGTAATGAGTAGAGGCCNNATCGACAGCAAGTATCGGCCCCTGTCACAATGGACGTCCGAACACATTTCCAACTGGTTATTGCAATCAATGACGCAACAAAATCTCAGAGGTCAGTGCGATAAGAGAAATCCAGAGTCATCAGTTGCAAAATATATCATGATAACTGGACACATTGTTGTATGTTGTATGCCGTTGTGACGTAACATGAATCCCAGGCCCTTAGCTTTCAGGGAAGCGATGGTAATCAAGTTACGTAATCCAATTTTGTGTGCACAAAGTGATCAATCAAAATAACGTGGAACTGATGCTAATTAACCGTCCTTTGACTATTCTCCGTTAAAGCAATGTAGTTATACAAACATTTCTACATAAATACCAGATTGTTTTACGCTGTAGCGATTGAGATTAAAAGAAATGTTAACATCTCACAGGATTTACCTTCTCTCTGTTCTGACAAATGTCTGTACGGTTAGATTATTCAACAGGTAACAATCACTCACTGTTGTATGGCTTGATGCGTATCACTCTAGACTTAGTTAGTGACACCCGTGAGTACATACATCATGTTCATTCATATTTGGTTTGTGTGTGTGTGTGTGTGTCTGTGTGCAGGTAGATGAAGTCGAGCTATGGTGCATACCATTACTGCGTTTTCCTTAAAAAAAAAAAAGAACGCGCGTACGGATCGAGAAATTCATAATGCGACTCGTACATAAGTTGACCTAATTGTAAAACGCTACCCACCTGGTGTTTTACCACAGGTTTTGAAGGAAACCGTAAATCCCATCCGTGCAGAAAATGATCATCACTGCCGGTGTACAGAAGCATATTATTCTGACCTGGAGAATCCTGAGAGGGTGAACGAGTTGTGCCGGACCCATCCATGTTCGGATCCGACTGGATCGCATTTAATGCGTTCACCTGATCACCAGAACTGAGATCTATTATCACTTGAGAATCGGTGGGCTGTGCGATGTTGGACACTGATTCTAAACTAGTGAGAAGCACGTTCGGATCCATCACGTCTTGATCGTATCCCGGATCGGAATTGCTGATTGAGGAAAGGCTGGAGTATGAAGCATAAGTGGAAAGCAACTGATCTCCGCCAGCACGGAGTTCGGCCAAATTTCTATCGGCACAATCGGACGCGAACATTCGGCGCTCGTTAGGTGCATCCATGCACAAAATTGCTTTCTGATGACGCACCGCTAGGCAGCGTGACTGTTGTTCCGGAGACATTCGTAAGTCTAACATTCGGACCAGAAAGTAGGCGCTAGCGGCCACAGTGTTCGGATCAAGAAAACTGGAACACAACACTGGAGCGTGAAGCCTGGAAAGTATGCATCAAAACCAAATGCAATGATCTTGTCAGGCCAATAACAAATCACGTTTAGGTTTCAATTAATTGGTAGCAAGGGTGTGCGATGGATTATATGAATTAAGAGTAAACATTCTTCAGACTGCATCTTCACGAACAATTCTCAATTTATACTCGACAATCTTTGCGCCAGTTGGCTCATATTTGGGCAGACCAGAAATATCAAAGTCAAAGTTTTATTGTGGGAAATACAAGTGGTCGGTTTTCTTGTTACATAAGGTTTTACGCAACAACTGAATCGGTTAACGGTTCATATAAAGATAAGGAATGTTA